TCCATCTTTATACATGTAAAGCTTGTAACCGTTGTCTTGCCTGTAATTTTTCAGTCTGTTATCTGACCAGCCGGAACATCTGATTAAATATATCAGCACATCACAAATTTCCAGACAAGGAAGTTATTTAAAGGGTACCTGCAGTGGCTTTTTATTTTTAAATATGTTGTAGATCATGCTAAAATAAAACTAAAGAAAAAAACCGCACCGAAATCTATGCACAACTAACGAAGCTATTGGGGAAAAACCCTATTTCACACCTGAGCGATTTTCTGAAACGCTCGGTTTTCGGGCCTTAGCCGCTGTGACGTCACAACATGTACCGGCCATTTTGAATGCATAGAATACGGTGGAAACACGATGGGGTTTTTTAGTGTTTTTTCCATTAATTTTTAGGGATTTTGTGAATATTAAATTAACTATGACTATAGTATTATTTTTGTTTGAAATTAGTTTAGTGAATATTTTTTCATTATTTCTTTGTGTGTGGTTATAGTAAGTAACGATACAAGGAATTGCCAAAAATCATCGATTCATATTTTCCAACAATTAGGAATCGATGGATTATCCCATTTCTATCGTCATTTTTTTCCTTCCGAATATGTATTGACATTTTTTTTAAATTCTATTTGTAAGCAATAATCACAAAAAGACAGTACATGCGACCGTTTCACTAACAAATCGTAGATCGTAAACGTACGTTAATAAAAGAAAACATTTCTAATTTAAATTAAAAAAAAGTAAGTACAGGGTTAGTGTATAGGTCCCTGGTAAGTACTTATATGATGTATTCTTTGAAAAGTGAAAGTATAGAAGACGCGTATATATTTTTCTATTATTTAGTATTGGGAAGTACATAGAATTAATATGAGAGAGTGAGTGAGACTGAGATTCCCTTGTTTAACACCCCTCCCCATGTTATTGATTCAACAAATGTTATTTAACTTTATGTTCTTCGTTATATCTTCAATATCAGTAACATTTTTATTATTATATTGGATTGTTCATTTTTAACGTCAGTTGAATTTATAAGTACCCCCCCCCCCCCCCAACACACACACACATAATTTTTTGATTCAAACAAGTGTTTCTGTATTCATCTCTCTTACATAATCTGTCAAAGCCATTTTTAAATAAATTTCTTGCTTATTCAACTTCTGTTTATTCGTGTTTCTTATTTTCCTGCACCAGGGACCTGTAACATGTTCGTCTCCGTGGTTACGTACGAAATCCACGTGCTTCACCTGTCAATCAAAATCACTCGACGCAATCTTGAATGGTGCGATTTGATACATTCATCGGCTCCTTTGTCAAATATATAGTGGGACATGAATAAATAGCCAGAGGTACCGAATGTTTATCACACCTTTCCAAGTCATCGGTTTTGACCATGGCAAGTGTATTAATCACGTAATCCCAAGTCCTACCCCACCACGCGTGTAAATTAAACTGATTACCAAGAACTTGTTGAAAAATCTGATAGATTAAATATTTTACACTTTTATGAATTAAAACTGTTTAGTCTGTCACATGGTGATTTGTATACAGTTAAAAAAATATACAAAACACAAGTATATTCACCTAACTTTAAGTTCATATTTTACTGAATTATAATAGATTGTCTGTTGAATTAGTGATAATTAAAAAAAAAAAATGATTTTTTTTCTCAGTTGACATGTTATTCTTCTAAATTCAATATACATTTAGAATTTAAATTATTCATAAAACCACTAACGATCGGAATTACATATATGAGTTTTGTTTCCGAATCTATTACAGATTTGATAAGGGGAGGGGGGTCTTCTGTAATTAGGACCATAGACTATGAGAGAGAGATGAGAGGGGTTAAGATTTATTTAGCATTGCAGACACACTATTTGATATAATGTTAAGTGTTCTAAATTTTTATTTTGTAAATTAATTTTAATTAGTACAGTGACAAAAAAAAAATTATAAGCACATTACCATAATTAGGAGTACGCGGGTATCATTATTTAACAATTAGTTTTAATAATTTGTATATTGATAATGACCCGATTTTTGAAAATATATTTGGTCGTGACTTTGAAGTAAAATTAAATTGATAATATTGCTGCTGCTGATTGCTAAATGGTAACAACTGATTATCAAATTTAGACATAGAAGAATTTTTATCCAAACGAGAAAATCGTCAATTATCATTTAGCCGATAGTAATGAAGATCTTGTTGAAATAATTAACAGCTTGATGAACGAACTGTTTTAGGACATTGAAAATATAGAATTAAAAATTCCTGTATTTTGGTTTTGATGATTTTTTTCCAGTCATATTCAGTAGGCTGTAACAGGGAGATATATACAGGAACTTTAATTGTAGTATACACGACCCTGGCTGTAGATTGTTTTGAAATCTCTATAAATTCCTCGTTAGAATCGGTTTCTGGCTCAGCCTAGTAAGGTCTGATGCAAAGCTCAATAATTATTCAGTCTGGATTTTTAAAACTTATAGACCAATGCCTCATATCAAAGCTAAAATCGTCGTCGTTTTCCAAGTTAATCTCATTGTCGTTAATACTGACCCGCTTATGCGGTACATGTTGTGACGTCACACCAGTAGAGCCTCGTTATCGATCATTTCTATTTTCGCTTGATTGGATTTTCAAAACAGGTAAAAATAGGCACCTTTAAAGCGCGATAACTTCGTTATTTGTGCATAGATTTCGATGCGGTTTTTTTCTTTCGTATTATTTTATTGTGATCTTTATCATTTCAAAAAATAAAATGCTACTGCAGGTAATCTTTCGTAAAACGACTAATAACAGTCGTTATATCCGGGGAGGCAATTTCTTCTCCAGTGAGACTTCGTATGGTGCGCCGTTTCATGTTCTTGACTTTGTAGTCGTCTTTCGCGACAATTAAAGTTAACTGTAATTCAATTGCAACTTCCGCCAACCTGCCTAAAGTGTAGCTTCTGTATTCATTACAATAGATGTCCCTTTCTCTCAAAAAATTACATAATTCTGGGACGGTTTTTGCACTGACATAAGGATGTTGATGATCTGCCAATTTTGATGCCTAACAGATGATCGCGTGATAGTAACTTCTCTACTTCCGCTCAAAAGACGATTGATTGCCTTAATTAAACCTCCCCGTATTTTGTAGGCACACTAACAGGAGACTTTATACCTACACAGCTCATCTACAAAGGGGCAACTTCTGCATTTCATCCGGTATATAGTTTTCCATTAGCTTGGCATAGAACGCAAAGCCCCATCCACTGGGCTAATAACATGACATAGATTGAGTACTCGTGAAAGATTTCCATGCACCATATCCGAACACCCCCCCCCCCCGAAAAAAAAAATTAATACATAAAAAAATTAATTAAAAAAAAAAAAAAAAAGGAATTTGCATTGTGTTAATACCCACTGCACTGATCGTTAGGAACCGATCTGACAGTGCAAAAAATTGTAAAAGACAAATTTAAGAATCGCTTTCAAAAATGGTATGCATCACAAGTATCAAAACAACTAGAGAAAGGTACAACAGAAAAAAAACATTGACCCCCGTTGATCTCCGACTTTCATTTCTGAAGTCACTGTCTGCAGAATGGTAGGTACAAGTTCATTCTAATATTAAATCGGACAAAAAGCTTGTGTACAAAGTATTCGAAAAAATCGAAATTGTTGAAGCCGTTGGATATAAGTTTCCATCTTGTTAGACAGATCTCGAGCTTTCACATTTTACTAGTGGTATTGATCATATCTCGCAATAAGATACGACTAGGTCATTGTCTGTGACGTTTTTAAGTGATTTTTGAAGAAGTTTTACTGTAACGATAATATATATTTAGGTTTCGGTCTTTGAATGTGAAAACGTTTAATCATTTTGACTGTTATTTTATATGATACGGAAAAAGTTGTAATGTGCGAGTTTGATTCTTTGAACTGTTTTCCCCTCAACATACTTGTCATTTCCTGTTAAAGATTTTTGCAGATAATACAACCGCAGAAATTGAAAGCGCAGAAATTAATTTTCTACTTTGTAAGGGTCACATTGCAAAAATTTCCAACCGCAGAAAATACCCGTTATACGATACTTACTTAAAGGTATGTTTTCAATATAAATACTCAAGGATGTAGTTATACTCCCTGATTTGCAAGTTATAATTTGGTGTTGGAGCTCTACGGGAATTACTCATTGAAAATAGCTAAGTGGTCATAAAAATACACAATAATAATTATTTTACGATGAGAAAACATTTTTGAGTTATACATTAGTATTTAAAATACAAAGAAATGAAGTAATTTAAAGAGAGTGAGTACGTTTGACGGTAAAGAATTGTTCAAAATGATCAATATCAAAGCACTTGAATTCTCTACCTTTTGTTTTTATCGTCGATAAAAACACATACATATAAAGAAATATCTGATAAACTTTTTAAATTTATATTCAAGCAATGTTGTATAGGCGTTATTTAGGTTTTGAATTGATCGATTTATTTCCTTATTGACATATCATGAGACAATATTGAAATCGTTTGTAATTTTTACATATGTATTTTAAATAAGTCCTTAAAGTGATAACCAACTTTTTCACAAAAGGAAGAGATTCGTCGCAATCATATATCAGTTTAAATTAATTTCAATGTTGCCAATAGCAAAATTAAATTTCACTTAATATACCTTAAGTTGACTCTATGACTTCATAAAAACATGACAAAGATATAAAGTGGGAGTTACATGTAGCAAAGATTCTAACCCTTTTCTTCACTGCCCTTGATAGTTAGTTCTCCCCATAGTTAGTTACATGAAGAATATATGAGAGCGATTGACAGGGGATGTTAACGTCAGGGACTTGACCAGACCTCTAATATTTTCAGGCTTCCTGTTGGTAAAGTTCAGTTAGATTTTATAGCGTAATCACTGTTCATAATCTTTACGTTAGCTCTTCGGAAAAAAAGGTTCATAACATTTAGTTAAGGACGCATTATTCTTCTTTATTTTCATTATTGAAATTTACCTTTAAGGTTACGGTGAAATTGTAATTCGTTTCTCATTTCCCGAACTTCCTGTTGAATTCTGCATAAAAGCTCTTCTTTATTGGATCCTTCAAGGTCAAATGTTTCAATTTCCCTCACAATGGCGTCAGTTTCACCCTCGCTTATTTCACTTAAAGCCTAAAAAAAAACAATTGAACAAACAATAAAAAACAAAACGTACAATTGCAGTTGCTGAGACATATGTGTAATTCTCCACATTTTAACAACATGGTATACTTAAATGATAATATAAATATATTCCACGTTTTCTGGTTGGATTTTAGATTTATTAATGGACCTGGTTTTTGAAAATATTTTAAAAAAGAGCAAGGCATCAATGAATTAAAAATTCCAACCTCAGAAGTGTAAAGAATTTCCAAATTCAATAAAAAAAAAAATCATTTTCTGTTAAATGCACTTTCTCTGGATATCCATTTGTCCCTATCATTTATAAAGAGCCATTCTCTGTATGACTTCACCTTTTATATAAAAGGTGTCTCAGAATTTCTCCAAATTATCTGCAATGAAAGTCTTTGATACTGTAAACTCAAATCAGGCAACCATTCGTTGCTATGTGTCATGGTTACCACTACAACATGCCTTTAAGTTTGAAAATAAACTTTTTGTCACTAAGTTGACAATTTCGCCATAACCTTAAAAGTAAATTTCACTTATATGTAAAACTTTGATCACCCATTGTGGCCCCATCCTACACCCGGGATTATGCTATTCGTGAGAAAAAGATTTTTAAAATCTGAGGACGCTTCCAGATAAATATTACCAATCATGCCTTTGCTGTTTTAGAAGAAGATTTTTAAAGATTTTTTTTCCTACGTATTACTATGTAAAACTTTGATTGCCCATTATGGCCCCATCCTACACCCGGGGTCATGATTTGAACAAACTTGATTCCAAACTACCTGAGGATGCTTTCATATAAATATTACCAATCATGGTTTTGCTGTTCTTGAGAAGATTTTTAAAGATTTTTTCCTATGTATTCCTATGTAAAACTTTGATCACCCATGTCGCCCATGCCTACCCCCGGGTGTCATGATTTGAACAAACTTGAATCTACACTACGTCACAATGATTCCACATAAGTTTCGTATTTTCAAGCACAGCGGTTCTTGAGATGAAGATTTTTTTAAAATGATTCCATTAATTTTTCACGAATTCATAATTATCTCCCCTTGAAAGAAGGCATGGTCCTTCATTTGAACAAACTTGAATCCCCTTTACCCACTGATACTCTGTTGCAAGTTTGGTTGAAAGTGGCCCAGTGGTTCTTGAGAAAAAGATGACAATCTGAAAAGTTTACGACAACGCCAATGACGACTGACAAATTTCGATCAGAAAAGCTCACTTGAGCCTTTAGCTAAATAAAAGTACAATCTGGAGTCGAGCAAGCCCGAAGGAATCATTACTTAAATATTTGATTTTCCCCTATACATTCTGATTAGCATGTAAACTGTGATCCCCTATATTTGGTTCACCTTTATCCTAATTGCCTTGAACAAACTTGAATCTGCTGTTTCTTAGGATGCTTCGTATGAAAGCTATTATCATGCCATTGATGTTTCTTAGAAGAAGAATATTTTACTTTGATTCAAAATTTATATTGAAGATTAAAATTTTAGAGAGAGATACTGAATGAGATTTTTTTTTAGACAGAACCATGGTGGCATATTTAGGCCATTCACATATTTTTTGTCAACATTAGATATCAACGTCAAGTCAAGATAACGATCTCGTTTAGTCACGATAACTTGTTGGTTTTGTCGCGATACAACAACTTCTATATCCTTTAGTCAAGATTGTTGATATTTGATTTAACCGGTTTTAGTGTGACCGGGTGTCATGTGTGTATTTGACTGATTCCCAGAGTGTGAGACCGGTGAGAGGAGCAGGTACATATATGTGTCAGTGCAAGGACGTTTGTCACCACATATATCTATTTTGTATCTCAATCAGTCAGACCTTGTTGTTAACTGTGTATCATTTCAATATATTACTGTTAAAATGTTCAGGAGTGTTCTTCGTCCGTATACAAAGTCTTTCAAGATAATATGTCACATTCTTTTGTGAGAGCTATCTCGACAAGACAAAATGTTTTATCTTGTTTCTTGACTATAATTGTTGCGTTGACAAGTACTGTCTCTCGATAATTTCAGTCACGATAACTGTAGGCCCCTATACGTGCTTTATAAATGCATATAAATAAATGAAGCTCTACAGGTGCCTCGGTCATTTTCCAGTGAAACACACGTATCATTTTTTTTTGTATCAGATTGTGACTCTTATTATTATTGCACGCACATTTTCTTAATAAATTCAGTTGGAACTAAGTTCAGATCGTTTCTGAGTTAACAGTAAAATGAAATATTAGTGCGTTTATACTAGACCAATGAGTTTTTACTCAATTACATGAAATATTTGCAATCATTAATTCAATAGAACTGCATTTCAAATAAAACAAAGTTGTTTTTTTTTTTTTAATTTAACAGAGATCAGTACTTGTCTATGATATTACTATGAGTAGTTTTTAATTATTACATGACTCTGTGTATTAATTGTTTTACCTATCCCATGCCAATAACTCAGGAAATCCTGGAATTGGAATTTCTAAATTTGGTTAACGGGTTATTTTATTTCATATTCAAAAGAGAAAGATCATGGGCACGTTTATATGAAAATCTTTATCTCCAAAAATTTTGTTCTCACAACAGACAAATAGTAGATAAATTAAAAAAAAAATTAACTAAATCAACACAAGGGACGATTTTGAAAAATAATTTTTATAAAAGAGATTCGCAAATGTCACTTAAAAATGACTGAGACACACGTAACACGTCATCTATAAATACATGCCTATATGTACATGTACGAGATACAGCTCTCGTGACTGCAATTATGAAGAGATAGGACTTATCAACGCAACAATTTAGTTATGAAACAAGATAAATTATCTCGTCATATCAGAGTAGCTATCACAGCAAAATGTCATAGCTTATCTTGAATAGACAAAATAGAAGTTGTTGTACCTCGAAAAATCCAGCGAGTTATCTTGACTTGACGAGATAGTTATCTTGACTGGACGTGATATCTTATGTTGACAAAAATTATGTTGATGACATAAATATGCCACAAAACAATGACAATACCCCCTCCACAATAGTCGATCTTGATATGAAATTCTATATGTCCTACCTCTTTTAAGGAAGACCATATCTTGTTCTATGAGTTTTCATTAATTCGACTTTTTGATGGATGAGATAACTTGTTCCTGTACACTTTGATTCTTGTCAAATGCGCCCCAAGAGATTTATCCCTCTCGGAAGGGAGTCTATCCCATCCTAAAGTAGGCTCTTGAACAAGCTTTAGGTTGCGTAAAAGGCATATCATCAAGGTTATGTCAAAATCAGCCGAGGAAGTTGCTAGAATGAATTCAAGAAAATAAGATAAGCAATTGTTAGCAGGGAGATAGAGTACAAAATACTGACAATTTTCATGTAAACTTTACGGTATCGGATTAAGATTTTGATTTTTTGAGACAAAGCTTACATTTTGAAATGAAAAAAAAAAAAAAAAATAGGTAGAAGTTGGCCATACAGAAACCAGGTACGATACTCTACCCCATTTCAAATGTACACTTTTCTTGTATATTTCCAAAAAAGCATAGAATATATACATGTAAATCTTAATATTTTACATGTCTCCCACCTCAATCGTAAGGTTTTACCAATGAAATAGCTAAATAAGCATCATACGGCATTCAATATTTCATTTTGGAATGTAAGAAGGAGTATCTTTCAACAAAAACAGTCTAGTATGAAAAGTAGAAACTTGTTACCACTACTGACAAGGTGGTACGATTTTCAAGGAAATAATATATTCTTGAATTTTTTAGATCCAGATTTATCTATTTTAATATCAAAACTGTATGCTTCTCTTGATTCTTTATATGTGTTTGCTTTTAAGTATTCAGTATTTTGATAATGAATTAGCCTCGTTCTGACACTAAAAAATTGTTTTTTTCAGGACAATATGACTGATCTTTCATGCTCCTTAACAAAAACTTTTTTTTCATCCGGTTTCATCCGATACCGGCTTAAAACAATACTTTGCAGGAACCACTATATATTCTAAGTTAATATAAAACAATTTTTTATTTTTCAACAGAAAAGTAAAAGAGAATTTCCTTTATCCCTACAATCTATTATAAAGAGGGAAAAAACTATGGTTTTTATTCTCAAACCTGTCGTTTTCGGAGTCGGTGCCATCATTATTGTCGGGATGTTGAAGCCGGGCACCCTCTGTAGAACTTCTTGTTGATACACATTGATGACTTTTTTGCTAACAAGGTTTTGAATGACTCTGACATTACTATTGAGAACAGTAGCAAGGTCAGCTGATGGAATGATAACATCAAAACGTTTCTTCACCGCTGGTTGGGCAACATATTTGATCAAAACATCTATGATCCAAAAATTTCTTTCTTCTTTAGTAAATCTAAAGCTCTTTTTCTCCATTTTACTCTGAAGGTAAAAGAACAATAAATAAATATTATTTATTCAGCATCTCTGCCTTTCACTTAACGCCACAAAGATTGATAGTGACAAGACAAACAGAGCTTTTTAGCTCACCTGAGCCGAAGGCTCAAGTGAGCTTTTCTGATCACATTTTTTCTGTAGTCCGTATGTCCGTCTGTCTGTCCGTCTGTCCGTCTGTAAACTTTTCACATTTTCGACTTCTTCTCCAGAACCACTGTGCCAATTTCAACCAAACTTGCCACAAAGTATCCTTGGGTAATGGGGATTTAAGTTTGTTCAAATGAAGGGCCACGCCTTCTTCCAAGGGGAGATAATTAAGAATTCGTGAAAAATTAATGGAATCATTAAAAAATCTTCTTCTCAAGAACCACTGTGCTTGAAAATATGAAACTTATGTGGAAGCATCCTCAGGTAGTGTAGATTCAAGTTTGTTCAAATCATGACCCCTGGGGGTCGGGTGGGGCCACAATGGGCGATCAAAGTTTTACAAAGGAATATATAGGAAAAATCTTTAAAAATCTTCTTTTCAAGAACAGCAAAGCCATGATTGGTCATATTTACAAAGAAGCATCCTCAGATAGTGTACATTCAAATTTGTTCAAACCATGGCCCCCAGGGGTCTGGTGGGGCCACAATGGGCGATCAAAGTTTTACATAGGAATATATAGGAAAAATCTTTAAAAATCTTCTTCTCAAGAACAGCAAAGCCATGATTGGTCGTATTTACAAGGAAGCATCCTCAGATAATGTACATTCAAATTTGTTCAAATCATGACCCCGGGAATAGGGTGGGGCTACAATGGGAGATCAAAGTTTTACATAGGAACACATAGTAAAAATCTTTAAAAAAAAACTATTTCTTAAGAACAGCAAAGCCATGATTGGACATATTTATATGGAAGCATTCTTAGATAGTGTGCATTCAAGTTTGTTCAAACATGACCCCTGTGGGTCGGGTGGGTCCACAATGGGTGATCAAAGTTTTAAATAGGAATACATAGGTTAAATCTTTAAAAATCTTCTACTCAAGAACAACAAAGCCATGATTGGTCCTATTTAAATGGAAGCATCCTCAAACAATGTAGATTCAAATTTGTTCAATTCATGACCCCCCCTCCCCCCCGAACCACTTTTATATTTAAACTTTTCAACCTTTCAAGACTGAACTGATTTCTGCTTTTTCCTAGCCATAGTGCTCAGGTGAGCGATGTGGCCCCTGGACCTCTTGTTCTATATATGATCAATGAGGGGCTTAAACGCCTTTGATCAGTTGCACAGGTAAATTGCTTTACAAAGAGAACAGGTCAGTATGCCCTGTTCTTTAGATCTGCATCTACAATAGAGCCAGAGGACAGGGGGAGGGAGAATGCATGTAATAACATTTTTGGGTGTTTTTGAAGAAAAAAAAACAGTTGTAAGGACGCCTTCAAAATGTCTTATACATCACATTGATGGAAAATCTTTATCTGCACTTTTTGCCAGCATAATATAATATCTTATCTTGTATGTCAATGTAATATTCACAATAAGAAACATAAATATTTACTGTATTTAATTACCTTGTATTTTTCTGTTATTGCTTATCCAAAAGAATATCGACAAGTTGAGACGTAATTTTAGCAGGAAATTTTTAATCATTAAGTTTAAAGTTTAAGTACACATGATAGATAAAAAAAACCTACACCGCAGTGATATCCGAGATACTAAATTATATATTGCCGAGTTACGAGTACCTTAACAAACTCTCTCATTCATTCTTACAAAAAAAATCATCATTAACACTTTTCCCCGTACAATATTTATACTTATAAATTCTAGATTACAAAAAAAAAAAAAAAAAAAAAAAAAAAAAAAAAAAAACCACTACCGACTTATAATTATTTTCATTGTATAAATAGAAAATTTATTTTTGTCTGCTCTGGATGGGTACCCAGAAGTCTAACAGCTGAAAATTTGAAGGGCAGATTAACAGTCTTTAAAACATTTTAAGGTATTACCTTAATGATGGAGAATTTCACAATAGACAAAACATGGTTCCATCGTTACGATTCAGAAACAAAACAGCAGTCAAGTCAATTAAAATATACTTACTCACCACCACCGAAGTAAGCTTAAGTGAAAAAACATTTCCGAAAAAGATGTTTATTCTTTTTTTCTGGTCAGGAAAGGAGTGGCATTAAGAAAGGCTGTTACACGAGGAAAAACTATCAACGCAGACAACTACAGCAAATTTGTACAGTATGACTTAATTCAGACATTATGGTAATGCGGCAATATCTGGCAGCCAATCCAGACAGGGTTATCCTTCATTAAGACAATGCACCTTGTCATACACTGTTACACTAGAACATACCAGAAAACTAATCTGCTGGGTTTTGAATGTCTGGAACCCCCTTCATTGATTCGATATATTTCATTGAACTCAAAATAAAAGAAACCATGTAGAATGACACACTTGTTTCCCATTTTGATAATTTACTTTGATGTGAATCAAATATGATTCCAATTTTGATGCTCCAGGTGAGCATTTCGACAAATAATGTCTCTTCAGTGATGCTCAAACCGAAACGTTGGAAATCTGAAATATTTAAATAAATAAGAAAACTTTGAGAACTTTTGAAGAAACTTGAAAGAAATATTAATGGCAAACTTACAACAAAACTTTATGATAAACGTGATAATCGCAACTTTTCTATCGTCAACTTCCCTCATTTATGTAGCAATAAACCATGATCACCTGCATATGGAGTTTGAGACATCCATTTGATTCGATATAATCAAACTATTGATAAATTAGTTGATTAGTTGATGATACATGGTTGCAAGGATATCAATAGTCCCCTTTAAAGACAACATTTGCAAATTTCATTGTCGACACAATGACCTTGCTCCAAAATTGTATTGTTCCAATGGACCTTGGAACTTGATGACTTTCATTACCTTAATACTTCATGTATCTGACATATTTAATGTAAGAGTTGAAAATATCGAACAGTAATCAAACTTATCTATTCATGTTTGAACTTGAACATTCTTAACTATTCCGTAATATCATATTGCGACAACTCTTTTCGGCTTTAATCATTGAGGGTACATTGAGTGTCCGTTAAGAAACATGAAAACAAACCATTAAGAGCAAAATCCACTTGAAGCTTAAAATATGTCAGTTTAATACTTTACAATTTAATTCATATTTAATTGTAGTTAAAAAAGTTCATATTTAATTGTAGTTAAAAATAACTGAATTGACGGCAATCCTTAATCAGAATTGGCTTGATATGAAAACTATACACATTAAGTATTTTTTTTTTTTATTTCAATGAGGAAAATATTACATTTATTGTAAAAGTAGTGCATTTATTTATACATGTAAATGTACCTGATATGCAATGTTTGCTACCGAAAACTGGAGCAAAAGGTTAAAAAGTTTATGGATAACCGCTGTTCCCTGCAGATTAGTGCATTATGTACACTATTATATCTAATCTACAGATACGTGAAAAATTATAGTGAATTACTGATACGTTTTGATCAATTTCATAAACCACTGATTGTCCTGCTTATGAACAAAGCTGTAAGTTATAAATTGAAACTTGAGACAACATATACAGTAGATTAAACAGGTATGTAAGCACAATTATATTATATTAATGGATTAATATTACAAAATTATACGTTAAAATTATCAATGCCTTAATTTGTACAACTCAGGTGATAATTACGCACGGAAGCCGGTAGGTGCCAGGTAGAAATATATTTTATCTGGCGGCCGCCAGAACTTATCTGGCGACCGCCAGAAACTTATCTGGCGGTCGCCAAATAATTTTCTGGCTGCCGCCAGATAAAAAGATATGGCGGCCGCCAAATAATTCATAACTTTCAGATATCTTTCTGGCGGCCGCCAGATAACTTTCTGGCGACGGCAAAATAAGTTATCTGGCGGCCGCCAGAAAATTATTTGGCGGCCGCCAGTTATTTATGTGGCGGCCGCCAGATAATTATTTAGCGGCCGCCAGAAAGTTATCTGGCGGCCGCCAGATAAAATATTTTTTCTATCTGGCACAAACCGGCTTCCGTATTTCGAGAAATAAACCAAAAAAGACTTAGTCTTATACACAATAGATGTGACAACGCAGGTAAGAGATTTATTTTTTTGACTAGATGAGAATTGGGGCTAGGTGGGAATAAATGCAAAGCTAAAATCCTTTTTTTTTTTGGGGGGGGGGGAGGGGGTATACTTTACATCATTTCAACAACTTACCAGAAAACTAATCTGCTGGGTTTTGAATGTCTGGAACCCCCTTCATTGATTCGATATATTTCATTGAACTCAAAATAAAAGAAACCATGTAGAATGACACACTTGTTTCCCATTTTGATAATTTACTTTGATGTGAATCAAATATGATTCCAATTTTGATGCTCCAGGTGAGCATTTCGACAAATAATGTCTCTTCAGTGATGCTCAAACCGAAACGTTGGAAATCTGAAATATTTAAATAAATAAGAAAACTTTGAGAACTTTTGAAGAAACTTGAAAGAAATATTAATGGCAAACTTACAACAAAACTTTATGATAAACGTGATAATCGCAACTTTTCTATCGTCAACTTCCCTCATTTATGTAGCAATAAACCATGATCACCTGCATATGGAGTTTGAGACATCCATTTGATTCGATATAATCAAACTATTGATAAATTAGTTGATTAGTTGATGATACATGGTTGCAAGGATATCAATAGTCCCCTTTAAAGACAACATTTGCAAATTTCATTGTCGACACAATGACCTTGCTCCAAAATTGTATTGTTCCAATGGACCTTGGAACTTGATGACTTTCATTACCTTAATACTTCATGTATCTGACATATTTAATGTAAGAG